CCCTGCGCTCCGAGCGCCCAGGTGGCCCAGAGCTCAGTACAGGGCCCGGAGAGGAGGACCTCCTCCTGCCCCTCTGATCCTGGCCACTCGCCTCATTATGAACATGGAGTGCAGGACCTGCCCGGCCTACTTCCCAGGAGGGGTGTAAGGGGGTGTGGCAGTGGAGCAGAGCCACCTTTTGAGGTGCAGACCTGCCGCCCGGTGGGGAGGACATGGGCACAGAGGAACTTTGTAACGTGGTCCCGATCCAAGGGGGGGGGGGCGGAGGGCGGGGTGTGTGTATGTGACCCTAACAACAACAACAGGTACATACAGTATTGAGCACGTATGTGCCAGGCACCGTTCTGAGAGTGTTGCATAAACCAACTCGCTTAATGCTCACGGTATCACGTGAGATAAGTACTGTTAACTCCCATGTACAGATGGGGAAACCGAGGCACGAGAGATCCACAGGTTGTACGTATGGTCAGTGGGTGGCAGAGCTGGGATTTGCATGCGGGCAGCCTGGCTCCGGGCCTCAGTGCATTAGGCTGCCCTGTCTGATAGAAGCAGCTAGAAAACGAGTGGCCCAGCCTTGGGTCTGCCGCCAGGCTTGGCTCTGGACACCTGGACTGGAAAGCAGACATTAAAATTACAGTTCCAGCCCCCTTCCTCTTCAGCAGCCTCGCCGTGGCCTCCAGCCAGGGTGATCTTGCTCTTGGCTCTGAACCAGCCCTTGGGAGGCAAGAATCGAAGTGTCAGGAGACCCAAGGTCAAGGGCAGGAAGCCTGCTGGCTGGCAGGCCCCTTCCCTGTTCCTTCCTGGATTCCCTCCGCCATGCGTGGGTCCCTGCTCGCCGGGAGGGTGGTTTTGTGCTGCCCGCCCTGAACATCACACGTGGGGGCAGTGAGCAAGGAGTATCCACCTCTCCGTCTCCCCAGCCTGACTCTCCATCACTGCCCCCCCCCATCCCCCAGTTAAGGGGCTTCCTCTTCCGCCTCCACCCCTTAACTGCTTCCCAGGACCCGGGCACCTGCCTCCTGCTGGAGGTGGTGTGTGAGGAAGGGGTGGATGGTCCCTGCCTGGCGGCCCCGGGGCAGGGGGGTGTGGTGAGAGGGCTCAGGCCGCCCAGCCCTCACTGGCCACCTTCCCCCAGGTCATCGGGCTCCTGGATGTCTTCACCCCAGCCTCCTCCCTGCGCAGCTTCCATGACTTGTGAGTGGCCGCACTGGGTCCCAGGGAACTGCAGTCCTTACTCCCACTGCGGAGCACGTTGGGGAAGGTGGGGGCTTCAGATTCTCTCTTCCCGGGAGGGGCCTTCCTGCCCCGCGTTCCCTGTGCCTCGCAGTGGAGGTGTGGTTCTCTCTGGAGAGATCTTTCCAGCCAAGGGCGGAGGGAAAGGCGGGCAGGAAGAGGTGGGAGGGGCTTTGTGGGGTGCGCGCTTGGCTCGGAGCTGTCTGCCAGCTGCTTTGCTTGTTACTCAGCTTTAACACCACCAGGACACCATTGCCAGTCCTCACAGGGTTGGCACCAGCTCCCCCGGGCACTCCCTGGGGCCCCAGATATGGGTCTGGCCCTTGAGGCTCCTTCTAGCATGAAGCAAGGATCAGGAAGCCTGGGCTGCCTTGGCTAATGGGGGTTGACAGTTAGAACCCAAACATTTCCTTGCTAAACGCATGGCTTGGCTAGTGCAGTGGCTGGTCTAAACTTTAGAAACCTTTGGGAAGGTGGATTTTTTTTTTCAGTCCTATTTCGAATGCTCTGAAGACCTCTCTGTTAGCATGCTTTTGTTGTGAATGTAATGCAGTAATTTTGAATGGAGTGGGTGTTGTTGTTTTTTTTAAGGAGGTAACATTTTATCTTTAAAAAATTTTATTTTGCAATTATAATTTACATTCAGTATGATTTTGTATTAATTTCAGGTGGACAGCATAGTGGTTAGCTAATCATAAACTTCACAAAGTGCCCCCCCCCCCATATTTCCAGTACCCATCTGGCACCGTACATAGTTATTGCAATATTATCAACTATATTTCCTATACTGTAC